AACAACAGTGGATCTTGCTGCTCTGGAAAATCATGAATTCATTATCAAGCCCGAGTTCGATGACAGCTTGCGAGTCATCAGGAAGAAGCTGGACAAGCTACGCCACGACATGGATATGGAACACCACCGAGTTTCCAAGGATTTGCATCAAGACATGGAGAAAAAGCTCTTCATGGAGAACCACCGTGTGCACGGTTGGTGCTTCCGTCTCACTCGAAATGAGGCGGGCTGTATTCGCAATAAGAAGGAGTACCAAGAGTGTTCGACCCAGAAGAACGGCGTATACTTTACCACATCCAACATGCAGTCCCTTCGTCGAGAGCATGATCAACTGTCCTCGAACTACAACCGAACCCAGACCGGTCTGGTTAACGAGGTCGTCAATGTTGCCGCTTCGTATTGCCCGGTGTTGGAGCAAGTCGCTGGTGTACTCGCACACCTAGATGTCATCGTGAGCTTTGCCCATGCTTCGATGCATGCACCTTCGGGATACGTTCGCCCAAAGATGCATCCCCGGGGAACTGGAAACACCGTTCTGAAGGAAGCTCGGCATCCTTGCATGGAAATTCAGGACGATATCTCCTTCATTACGAATGATGTTTCCTTGATTCGTGATGAATCATCTTTCCTCATCATCACTGGTCCCAACATGGGCGGCAAATCTACATATATCCGACAGATTGGTGTGATTGCACTCATGGCACAGATCGGCTGCTTCGTCCCTTGTACAGAGGCCGAGCTGACCATTTTCGACTGCATTCTTGCTCGAGTTGGTGCAAGCGACTCGCAGCTCAAGGGTGTCTCGACGTTCATGGCGGAAATGCTTGAAACATCCAACATCCTCAAGTCCGCCACCTCGGAGTCCCTGATTATCATCGACGAACTTGGCCGTGGAACTAGCACATACGACGGCTTCGGCTTGGCCTGGGCTATCTCGGAACATATTGTCACCGAGATCAGATGCTTTGGTCTGTTCGCAACTCATTTCCACGAGCTCACTGCCCTGGCGGACCGGTATCCTAAAGCCGTCAAGAACCTGCATGTCGTGGCATTCATTGGAAACGGCAATGAGGGCGAGAGTGAAGCTGAAACCGAAGAGAAGAAAAAGCGCCAAGTCACTCTTCTCTACCGCGTGGAGCCAGGAATCTGTGACCAGTCTTTTGGTATTCATGTCGCCGAGCTCGTGCGCTTCCCGGATAAGGTTGTCAACATGGCTCGTCAGAAGGCTGAGGAGCTTGAAGATTTCACTTCTGCGACAACTGAAAATGGGCAGGCACAACTTCCTGCGCCCTCGCTTGACAAATACTCCCAGGAAGAGGTAGAGGAGGGCAACACGCTCCTCAAGGAAATGCTGCTGAAATGGAAGGCGGCAACTGAGGGCAAAGAGATGACGGCGGAGCAGAAGCGACAGGTTATGCGTGATCTGGCTCAGGCCGATGAAAAATTACAAGCAAATAAGGTGTTCCAAAGTATCAAGGCTCTATGAGGATGTGAGCTATTCATGGAATTTGGCGTTGATGGAAGGAATGGGTTTGAAAAGGCATTGTTGTATACTCATCTTTTACATGTTAAGATAACCTAGCATTCTACTTTATACTCTAATCTCTTCTACATTCTTCTTCTAGTTCTCTTATAAAGTAGCCAAAAGGTAGTCGCGACGGAGTACGGAGTATACTCCGTTAATATAGAGGCCAGTCACGTGTAGGTCGGTCTAGATGATCAACGCGGGATTGTGACGAAGCCACTTTATTACAAAATCCAAATGATCGTTCTTTTTATTGTCTCCAATTCGTTCTTTCGAGGATTCAACTTCCAACAAACCTTTTAAGCCTGGACTTGTGCTGTCGCTGTGTCTCTAAACCACCCTCGATCGATCGCCTCATCCAGCTATGCGCGCAACCTCAACGCGGACGTCCTGAACCATTTCGATTCATGCACCCCTTTTCCGTTCTCACTCTTGGGATCTTCGTCGCGGGCTATATTACCGCTAGGTGGGACCTTGTTACCCGTCTATACGAATTGGCCATCTTCGCCTGGGATCACGGTGTCGTGGTATGTCTTCCATCGGCCATCGGTCCTTTGCTCCGCTTGCGACTTTATCGGCTTGGTGCCAGCGCACGTTATATTTTCAATGTCGCTAATTTGCTATTTAGACACGAACTGCGAAGGGGTTTTTGTTTCTCTCCGTCTTCTTTTTCCTCCTCGTCCTGCCGATCAACCATCTCGCGTCTAAAGAGGGCCAATTGGTGAGCCGGAACTACCACAGCTATGGGCAGCGATCGAAAGATAAAGCGCTTGATGCTGGCTTATGAGGATTTGCTAACGAGAGATATATAGCATCCGCGCCACGTGAATCTCGGCGTCTCCGCGCGCGAACAATTGCGCCGTCGAGGTTCATTCTGAGAAAGGTGGAGGATGACAATATGCTCATGGGTGATGGACTGTTGCGGGTATTTTGGCCATACGACCTCCCACGATCCTCATCCCCGGGCGTGATTGTCGGATGGCGAAACTCGGAGCTTGATTTGTTTGTGCTCACGGTGCTGGAAGATGTCGAGGTAGGTGGTTGCAATTGCCTTGTCTGCTCGTTCGATATAAGCTGATCGTGCTCGTGATGAATAGTCTAAAAATGTTGACAATGCTCTACGGGCGGGCATTCTCTTTCGAAACAGCCCTCACCCAATTGTGCGCATCTTCACTCTATGTGGACGCTCTCAGATGCATGTCCTCGGCTCGACCAACTCTCGCGAGTCTCCGACTTCTTTCAACCCTTCCCACCTGGATGTGACTACAATATTGTCCCCGAAAGCTCCTCGCATCTTCTGCCCACCAGAGGCAAACCTGTCTGTCCAGGTAATCATGTACCACCGCCCGCACCCAACACGCATGGAATATATGTCGCTCGATCCGATTTCACTAGCCTTGGGCGATAAAGCGACGAAGACAGAAATATGGGGGCCGTCATCAGATACGATCGAATCAGAGGAAGAGGGTGACAAGGTTGGGCCCAAGTTGTTGGTTGAGAAGCTCAAGCTTCATACGGTCGTCAAGCACATTCCATCACAGAAGGAGCAAGCCCTCCCGCTCATTATCAACCAAGTCAATTGTGCGTATGAGATGGGGCAGCTCATGCACAAAAACAGCCATTTGATTGGAATTCGGGCGAAGAGAAGTATGAGCGTCGGAGAACGTGTCGTGGAATCGGCGACAACTTTATGGGGGTTTATTGTCCTTTGCATTGCACACGTTTTCTGGCAATGGCTTTGGCCCGTCGTCACCCGCATCTTCGTGGTCGGGCTTGTATGCCACCGGTCTGCTGCGGAAATTGTCTTGCGGGTTCTTGAGTGGCGTGCTCGGCCTGATGCTGCTGCTCTCAAGGATATCTCAGCAACAGCCCAACAGGTTGATATAAGATTGCAGCAGTTCTGCTACTGGCCGATTCAATATGTCAAGCTTCGGCAAAGGAAGGATAACTGGGAGAGTGTCACGACCAGTCATCCAGACTATATTCGGTTCTATAACAGTCTGTGGCTTGTTGCCAATGATGTGATCATCGGGATTGCGTTGGGGTCCTACATTATTGACAACGCGAACTGGGTTGCTTCGCAAATCAATACTGTCTTGACCGGCTGGACGGTGGAGGGGTTACAGCGCACCATTTCGTGGCTAATGGATTGGCCAGCCGGCTTGAAACTCAACAATGAGCTAGCGGCGTTCCTCGGTGACTTGTTCCTATGGGTCATTGAAAACTGGGCAGCTTGCATTGCCAACCTTCAGCCTTACCTTCCTGCTGTCATCTACATTGTTGGATGTTCAAGCTTTGCAGGAGCTAGCATGCCAATCGCTCTTTTTTCCGACCTTCTTTCGATCCTGACGGTTCACATTTACTCTTTCTACATTGCCTCCGCCCGTATATTCAACTGGCAACTCACCATTATCATTTCCCTTTTCCATCTTTTCCGTGGAAAGAAACGCAACGTTCTTCGCAACCGAATCGACTCATGTGACTACGACCTCGACCAACTCCTCCTTGGCACTATCCTCTTCACCGTCCTATTCTTCTTACTGCCTACAGTTGTGGTGTTCTATCTCACCTTTGCCTCGGCCCGGATGTTAATTATTTCAATGAAAGCAGCGCTTGACACCTGCCTCGCGTTCTTGAATCATTTCCCGCTCTTCGCGTTGATGCTCCGCGTGAAAGACTCTCGACGGCTACCAGGAGGTATCCGATTCGAGCTTCGGAATGAACCAGACAAGAACCCAACAGACACGGACTTGTCTGCGCTGGTTTCTTGCATCCACCTCGAGGTATGTTACATATCCAACCAAAACATCGCCTCAGAAAAGCTGACATATTTTAGTCTATTCCCCTCCCCCTACGTGCAATGTTCGACCAATACTTCCAGCTGGGCCACCGGCTCCGGAAACACTACCTCGCGCCTCGCGTCATCTTCTGCCTTATAACCGGCCGATTTGTGCCACCTATCCATCGCCGCAACCTCTATAGCATGCAGTACAGCATGCTACCTGCCCGTCGGGCTGGTATGGTAGAGGTGTGGACATTGCTCACACAGCCTAAGAAAGGCAGTGGTGGGAGCAGTGGCTCTGGGTCTATGGGTGCAGGCATTGGAAACTTGAGTAACCCAATAGCGAAGGTTCCAGCGAATTTCGGGCAGAGTGATCTTCGGAGACGAGGTCATCGCTGATACAAACTCCCTCTTGTACATAATGCCGATAATGCTTTTATACTAAGATAATTCCCTAATATTGCCTTGCTAGAATAACATAGAATGGATAAAGACACTCCTGGAGCAAAATAGAGATATATAATATATAGAACGGTCTCGAAAAGACCACACCGTTGAACTTTTGTTCACAAACTGTAACGGCCGGGCCTGTGAGTTGTTGTATGTCTAGCACCAGCCTAGAGATAACTACACAGAGAATTCTAGAGGAACTTGAATATGAAATCACATCCAGCTCATTTCGCCCTTCCTGGAATGGCTGTAAGTATTCTTTCCTCAATAGGTATATTGACAACGCTAATACTTTGACGACAAACAGCGGATACAGTCACAGGAGGTTTCGACTTCCCTCTGAATGCTCAATAGACCAGTCCTAGTAAATTCATCGCAAACGCCGCCACAATAGTGGGTGGAGAAGATCACCCGGAGTTGATGGCTTTATTGTGGTCAGCTTCCAATGGCGCCAAGGGGACATGGGTCGGTGGTGGATTACCGGATTGGGCCAGTATTGATAGAAACAACAGGCCATCCAAACTGTAAGGACTACGCACCTGGGTAATTGGATATACTAGTTCTATCACAACAAACAGCATGTACGGCATGCGGGGAAATAACTAACTAAATAGGTGTAACATGCGACGTACATAAGCGGATAGAAATATCAGAGAAGTCCTGTATATAGTATCAGCTTATTTTCGTTTTGACCTGGTCTTCTCCCTAAACCCCCTTCATTCGAAGCTAGGTGGTCTGTACAGGTGTGGGGATCATTGCCAGTCACTGTGCCACTTCGGCCATTCCAGTGCTCCGCCAGACCTGGTATACCGCGTAGTCACCACGTTCGTCTTTAGGCCCACAAAGATTGGAGATGTTCTGTATTGCCTCATCTGTGATTTGGTTTCCATCCGTTAAGAAAAAAAGTACACCAGGCTCAGTGAGGAAATCAGGCCGGTCGAGAGTAACGAAAAAGCTACGGTATGGCTCCCTCACTCCCGGGATATAATTTTGCATTCGATCCTGCGGGAAAGTCCGGCCGTCTTGGTGGACCGCTCCTATAGCTACCTCCGGTCGAGATTTTATGAGATCCCGGTGCGATGCTAGGATAGCACCTAGGGATTGAGATGCTGAGAAGAACTCAAAGCTGATTGTCTTTCCGCGAGGAATGTTATCGATAATCGCAGCAGTAAAGGCCTGCGCAATAGGCATAAGTTCTAGCCCGAGTTGTTTATGAGGAAAAGCGATATGAATAATGTACCGAAGGTCTGGTTCTGGTGATGTTGTTGTAGGATGCGATGTAATGACGACAGACCCCTCGGAAGGTGATTGTAAATTGAAATCCCCATGATGTAGTGAATCGGCTTTTCTATGTAGCGACTCGACGACCTCCAGCGCTGGAGGCTGATATGCTAAGGATGGCTCTCCCTCATCTTCATCCAGACCATAATCGAACTCAAAATCCTCAATATCGCAGTGACTCAGCCTAACTAACGACGATATTGTCCGCAAGTTGTGACGCATGGTTCGGCACTTTCGCACCACGAGTTCTTCTCTTTCTGAATAGACAACACACCCATCGGGGATTGTTGAAGGATCAAAGCTAAATCGGGAGAACCACTCAATCCGGGAACGGAGATCAACTTTCGCTCTGAGCGGAAAACTCATTGAAATTTACCCACAGCGGACCTGATTCGGCTTCATAATCCGGTTGGCCGTTAGCACGAAAGCTATAGGAGGTAATCACTAAGAGAAACCCCTGCAAAAGTCGATCCTCGTTGGGCGCCACTTTGGCAATACCAGGAAAAAACCCTTCTCCCGGGAAATTATTCTTTCGGTGAAGAATCTCGCGTCTTTGATGCTCCACGCAGGTGAATACATCAGGCTGGTGACCGTAGATCTCAAATGACAGCTGGGGATAGTCATGTATCTCCGAAGAGAGATATCGACAAAGAGCGGTATATTCATGTTCGGCGTTCAAATCTAGATGGACGGTGCTGTAAACCTGGATGGCGATTTCTGGAATAGGATCTACCAAGGCTTCAGGGTTGGTCGCCCTTTTCGCCATCAACATCGCAGGTTGGTTTGCATGGTCTCGGTACCGTTGCGCAATCCATTCCGAAAGCGGAGCCCTCCACCAACCTTTGATCCTAGCCATCGCGCTATTTCTTCTGAGATGAGAGAGGACTTCCAAGGTTGAAACGCTAAGGCTCTGAATAGCAACGCATGCTCCCGTCCCAATGTCAGTCACGTGAGCCACAAGCGAGCGGTAGTTAGTTTGTATGTAATAACATTTGCAGGTATCCAAGGGAGGTCGCGTCTTTTATACAATGTAGGTTGAAGGCGTAGTGAAGCGCTAAATCCAAAAAGGCAAAACTAACTCGAACAGGCAATTAACAGGTCCGCCGTTTACATGGAAGATGCATGGTATCGCTGAAAAGAACAAATGGCGCCAGAGCCAGGCTGCTTTTACGATCATCCGCGGATCAGGGCGATTCACAGAGAGATCTAGGTGTTCCTCTTCAAGATTTCTTGAGGAACTCTGCATCCGTTTCACTGCTGCCGCTCTTTCGGGCATCATCCACCATGGCGTCAATGCCCCGTTCCTTGAGAACTTTCTATAAGCATTACATACCTCTGTCAGACAACTTGAATATATAGAAATATATAGAGGACATATCACAAGGCAGGACTTACATTCAAGCACCCCTTGTAGTTCTTAAATAATGCTTCGCAGTCATTGGATGAAGTGTTGCCACGCAGATATTCTGTTCTAGGATTAGCTGCTGCTGTCACCGAGGCCTTTTATTGAAGGAAAATAGTTGCATACTCTCGCTATACCACTTGAGGAAGCAAGTGTCATATTTCCTAGTATATATATTAGCTTTTGGTTAACACGTTGAAGCTAGGTATGTTCACTATAGCTCACTCTTTGATATCGTTACATTCGGGGGCAATAGAAGCCGCCATGTTGGATGTAATAGGAGAAAGTTTATCAGATAATATCCCGCAGACCTTATACTTTTCTTGCTAAGTCGAACTGAGTATATTGAGTATTTTAGAGGAATGAGAGGAAAAGAATGCGGTGACAACTCGAAGATCGGCGGAAGTCCATACAAATATCGCCACTCTGGGAAGGCGGTCAGGCCGGGCCTACCATTTCTCCATTGACATTTTTTTCGGGACCTTGGATCTTCATGTCACTACTGTTTCGCGTTTCTTTTCCTCATTCTTCCTTTCGCTAGATTCAGTGAACTGGAGCTCTGCAAGTCATCATGGACTCTGCAGAATTTGCACCGTTCCGGGAGAAGTTAACCTCCGCTCTGGTGCAGGTGACGCGAACTGTCGGACAGCTCTCATCGGAAGACCTGAACTTCCATCGCACCTCCAGCGCAGAATTTTCCGAGTCGCTAGATGAACAGAGCGCGCGCATCATTGCGCTAACCTCCGCCGTTATCAAAGCTGCCACCGCAGGAACCGACGTGACTGGACCAACCCTTCACGATGAAGATTCCGTCGAGGACAATTGGCGTGGCGTGGTGGATGTGATTGACTCGCTTTTGGAAAAGGCCGATGCCTGTTTGGATGAATTCACTGGTGTGATTAAGAAGCTCAGCCCTTCCCAGGAAGAACGTGCACCGATCAAGAAAGCGCCCAACTTCCCGACTATTTACGACTATGGCCCCTCCAAGATCCCCAAGCCGCAATTGCTCTTCGATCGCAAACCAGATAACGCTGATATGAGCCCCTTTAAGCCTCTTCTTAAGTCTAAGCCTCATGCGATTGTACCGTTGGAGAAATGCTTGAAGACGAAGAAGATAGAAGGTGTAATTGGTTATCCTCACCCTTATGAGGCGGAGATTCTTGCTTCAGAGTACCCGAAGCCGGTCTATCAGGTCTCCCCTCCGGTTGAGTATCTGCCCTTTGAGAGTACCACGGCTACTTTCGTCGATACTTTGGATGGAGTGAAGGAAATGCTGAAGGAGCTCAAGAAAGCGAAGGAAATCGCTATTGATTTGGAGCATCACGATGTACACTCTTATCACGGTCTTGTCTCTTTGATGCAAATCAGCACCCGGGACAAGGATTGGGTTGTGGATACCTTGCGACCTTGGAGAGAAGAGCTGCAGATGCTGAACGAGGTTTTTGCGGACCCAAAGATCTTGAAGGTCCTCCACGGTTCCACCATGGATATCATCTGGCTGCAACGTGACTTAGGCCTATATGTGGTTGGGATGTTCGATACTTTCCACGCTGCATCTGCATTAGGCTTCCCAAAACGAAGCTTGAAGTTCCTGCTGAGCAAGTTCGTCAACTTCGAAGCTGATAAGCGGTATCAGACGGCTGATTGGCGGGCTCGCCCACTCCCACCGGCCATGTTCGACTATGCACGATCAGACACGCATTATCTTCTTTACGTCTACGACCGCCTACGAAATGACCTGATCGACAACTCCACCGAAGAGGCGAGCCACATTGATTACGTTAACGAGCGGTCTAAACATGAAGCCCTGCAACGCTACGAACGTCCTGTTTACGATGCCGTCAATGGATATGGCCCGGGAGGCTGGTTCGATCTGTTGTGGCGCAACTGGAGCCACCTTTCCAAGGAGCAATTCGCCGTCTTCAAGGCTGTCCACCAATGGCGCGATGAAGTAGCGCGCACTGAGGACGAGGGTTGGCAGTGCGTTTTCCCCAAGCACATGCTCTTCAAGCTTGCCATAACTATGCCGGTTGATTTGGGGACTCTATTCCGAACCCTGTCACCTATGACTCCGATTACGAAGGAACGGTCACACGATCTTTTGGATGTTATCAAGCAAGCCAAGGTTGCCGGTATTGATGGTCCAGAATGGCGTGACGTGGCACCCCCGAAACACCTCGCAAGGGTCCTAGAGGCTGCCATCCCGGAAGCTGTCGATTTCCCCATTGCTGAACGCTATGAAACGTCTCAATTTTGGGGCAACGTCTTGGAAGCCAGGGAATCACCCACTCCCCCAGAATATGCGCTTGCCGCCGGTGCTGAAGCTATGCGCCTTTCTCTCCCCCTGCCACCCATGCCGACGACCGTCTCCGAAACCCGTGACCACCTCGGCACCACAAAACAACCCGCTCCCCTTAAGCCCACACCCGCTCCCCAGGAGCCAGAGGAGAAGAAGTACTTCACTGTCAAAGACCTCGGCGGTCCCCGCAAACGAAAGGTCACTCCAATCAACAACCCAGAGCAAGCCCTCTCCATAGCAGCCGACCTCGACGACACAAGCAACGACCCCGACTCCACGCAAAAGAAAAGCAAAAAGTCGCGCAGGGAGAAGAAGGCCAAGAAATCGAAATCCGACCCCAAGCCCGAGGGCGAGGCTCCCTTCGACTATGGCAACGCCGACGCCGTCCTCAACGCGCCGTCTTCTGCCACAGTCGCGCACCCTCGCAAAAAGGCTTACAACCCGTACATCAAAGCGTTGGAAGCCCCCTCAGGCGCGCGGAAGATCAAGCGGGAAACCCCCGGTAAGTCTCTTACGTTCCGCGAATAGACGGTTAGTCCGTCAAAAAAAAAAAGCATTTACGAATGGGGTTCTGGTTGGGTTGTTCTTTCCTGTTTAGATTATTGTTAGTTAGCATAGCGATACCCGTCAGTTGGAGACTCTGGGATTGCTGTATGTACATGTATAGAATATCAGGTTCTTCTCGGCAATGAGATAATGTGCTATTCTTGTAAAATTAATGTTTATATTATTTTTGCTTTTCAAATATTTCTTTACTTGATCAACAGTAATTCCGCTTGAAACACCATCTGTCTTTGATCTAGATCCACGCGATAGTACCTAGAAAGAGACTATGTTTCACTAAGCTAGGTTGGACTCCGTATGGGTAGGAGTCAAAGACTCCGCATTGACCATTCCCCGCTATAAAAAGAAAATATGAAAAGAAACATCAATAAATGCAAAGTTAAATGAATCGCAAACGCCAACCTTGGAGCATAAGTACATAGGTGCGTACTTTGTCTACTTTCCCGGGACTTTCTTCAACGGGCCTAAAGAGGCATAATGGGTGCGGCGATCGTATCCGGTTTGATGGGTTCGGAGAGTAAGATAGGTGAACTCGACATAATTATATGCGCAGTAATCCAATCCGTACTCCGAACAGCATAGCAAAGGATAACATGCACCCACTGCCGATCCCTACTATATCGCCGATGATAACAGCTGATGGTCATGGATTCCGGCATAAGCGGAAGGATTCCTATCCGAGCGCGAATTAGCGGAAGCCCGGATCGCTCAAGCGGGCCATGGATGTCTACCCTGTTTTTTTGTAGTACTTATACACAGATGGATGTTATATGCAAATACATAGCCATGGATGGAAGTATGTGGTGATACATATCAGGGGTTGGCAAGTGATCTACAGAGCCTTGGCGCGTTTCATAACAGGATGGGATGCATATTGGCCCGTGTGAATGATCGGCCGGATGAGGATGATATTCTCGAGGGAGCCAAAAGCCACGAAGTCATGTAGAGCCATGTTCTGTAATCTTAAAATGCATGTCTACTTTGTACATCTGCATGCGTAGTATGTTTAATATGCATACTACATCCCATATGCATGTATTGATAAGGGGAAGCTCGCGGAGAGAATCAAACTCTCTCTCTGTCTCCCCCCACTCACTCCACTTTTTCCGTTCAATTACCCCTGAGAAAGAAGCATAGACCAGGAATGCACTGTCTACCTTGAACTTATAACGTCCGTGTCGAGGGATTTTGGGGGAAAAAAACCTCAAGGTGGATTCAGTGCACCCCCGCATAGTTTGCTTTTTAATGATGATACTATCAATTTAAATCAATCAGCCAAGTTCCGCATATCATTCGATATTCATTGGATAATAAGAAAAAGGCAACTTGGAACCTTGAAGACCCAAAGCTTGGTTTCTTCCCAGGGGTTGTACTGCAAGCCCAACCCACTGGTTCAATCCGGGACTACATCTATGATAGGAGAATATAGCAGAGAATATCAAGAATCAAATAGAAAGTAAAACATCTACAAGCATGTCGGATGTAGCCGAGACTCCGCTATGGTTTGAGACAACCCATAGGCATACCACGGATGTATATTGTACATCGGATGTACCTAAGTGGTATGACTCTTGGGAGAATGAGGCCATAAGTACTGAATGTGTACATAAGTACCGAATACGTGAGAAGATTGGTTACGCGTAATTAATTGATAAGGCCATACTCCCGTACTTGGTATGGGCTCAACCTGAAACCAGGTTGTTGTGTCGAGTAGTTTGCGATTATTGTATCCATATTCATATATTAGGATTCAATTCTAATCTACGGACAATATATATAGACATCAGCATTCAAGTACCAAATAACATTCCCGAGACATCCACATGGAGGTCTCGTGGGCTTAGCCTGAACGGTTCAAGTCTTTTACAATATAGACGCAGGTACCGGTTAGCGCAACCCCCCTGCAGACATGAAACCGTGTCACCTTCCTGTAATACATTTTTATTTGGTTGTGTTATGTCCTTGATGTTATTGCTTTTTCTCGAGCCGTTGAGAAATATAAAAGAGAGATCTGACGTCAGGATGTTCTATGATTAACAAGTAAAACAAGTCAAAGTACGGCTTGAAGTTAGCGCGCATGGGCCAAATCCTGAAGACAAGGATGTTGATCGAGATCTTCCTAACAGTCCAGGGCCATATTCTCCAGAAAGGAGGGTGTTCCTAATAGTGGCGAAGTGCATTGGGCCAGGGGTAAAAAAAAGGCTGTCCCCCTTGCATAACAAGATACGTCTCATTCCCAAATTTGTTTTTTTTTATAGAAGAGAGAGAATATGGCAGTAAAAAGAAATAGAAATTAATACGAAAATAATAACACAAAAGATAAAGCAGAAAAATACAAAAAACCCAGTTCCCCAGAACCGCCCTAACAGCAGACTAACGAAATAAATAATCTCCCCTCTTTAC